CACAGATCATTTGAGTTGAGTTTATTTTTTCTGCAAGCAGTACATTTCTGTTTGTAGTAAGAGATGCTGTGCATCTTAGCAAAGACGATTTTCTGCACAATCAAAAGTGTGTATTTGGCATTGAAAGGATAATATGCACATTTTCAAAAATTTCCCTGGGCACAGAAAGAATCAACTCCAATAAGTGGCCCTACAATATGGGAAACAACGGGAGTTAGGTAGATATAACAAAAGAAACTTTGGCACTGAGACCCTTTTTTTTTTTGATAAAATATTCATTAATGTTATTGGTGCACTGGACCACAAAAGGTGCAATGCCCCTCTGGAGCACATGAAGGGGTCTTTGTTCAAGAAAATTCTAACATTCAGTTAAGGTTAAGAGTGAGTTATGGGTAGGCCTGTCAAATACATACATTTATGTAAGTTTGTTATGGTTCTCCCCTTTTGGACTTTTTTAGTTTTCAGTTATGTCATTCTGTTTTGTTTGTCATTGTTTTCTTTTTCTTTTTGTGTTGTATTTAAGCTTTGTTGCATTTTTTGAGTTACTCTCTGTTGCCCCCTATGTGCCAGTCTCCTTTTCCCTAGCTCCCCTCTGGTTACTTTTATCCACCCCTACTCCACATCAGCTGATTAGCCCATTTTGTGTTCTGCCCCCCATATGTAAACCTCCTCTGCAGTTACTCTTTGCTGGTTTCTCGTTGGTACTTGGCTTCTCATTTGTATTTCCCCCTGATGCCTCCTGGGTTTTTTTTGTTTTTTTTTTCCATTCTATTCTTGGATTTTGCTTCTGTTTTCCATTAAATTAGCAAAAGCTCATCTTTGTTTCCTTATCTCTGCATTTGGGTTCCCAACCAACCTCCACTCTACGTTGACAGAGTTACATTATCTGAACACAATTTATTGCTTCCAAACCTGTTTCTCCATGGATGCCCTCTAAAATAGGTTTCCCTTTGTTAAAGCTAACGTCCAGAGTTTCTGCTGGAGTGCAATCTGGAAATAACAGAATGTTATAACAAAAAGAAGGGAAAACTCTTTATTAGCTTTTTTTATGGAATTTTTCATGCTAGATGACTCTCGTGAAGTACTTGATTCCATCCTGAGCGTTCCTCATTTTTAACAAAGATTTAGACCACTGCACCAGGGGGAGAGTGTGAATGCTAAGACAGAAATGCATTATAAATCTTTATAAGATCTGAACATGTTACCACATAGGCTTCCATTGTTTATTTTTAGGTTCACAGTTGTTCATTTAAGAAAAATGACAAGTAACTCTTTAAGTTAAGACAATTTTTGTTAAGAGAAGTGGGTAGGAAATGTGTAGTTTAGGCTGTTAAGGCATTAAGTTGATCCACTATTGATTTTTACTGAATCAATTCATTTATGATTGACCTCATTGTCTCTTGAAAAAAACGACAGACCTGTATTTAGCTTGATGCCTTACACCTGGTAGCTGCTTCTGTGGAGCCTGGCTTGGCCTTTTTTCTAATGGATGATGCCACACTAGGTTGAGTCTGGTTTTATCCTTTATCCTCAGATTTCCGAGTCCAGCTTTTGTGAAAATGGGCCCAGGGAGATGGCAAAATCTCTGGAAAAAATTGCTCTGCACAGAGGAGACCAAAGTGTAGAATGTAACTCTGTGTGTGAAAATGTACTTCCTCTGCTCATTACCGCGGACAAACATCCCAACCGTTGTCCTAGATACATCACACTGTAGTTAGGCTTTATTTAGCAGGATTCAGGTAGATGGCCATAGTTAATGGAGAGATAAATGAGAGAAGACTGTAAGAAGACTGGTTAGAGCAGGAGTGTCCAAAGTGGGATCCAGGGAGGCCATTTGTTGCCCTTTTGCTATTTTAGGTTTATCACAGTTCAAGACTGGTCTAAATAAGGTTCGTCAGCTCAGGCAGTTGATGCAAATAATCAAAAAACAATTCTAAGGTGTAGTTTTCCTTAAGAAAAGGTGTGCAGACAAATATGCACTGGCTTGTAATGGAAAGTTTAAAGTTAATCTAATTATTCTCACCTCTCAGCAAAGTATTTGCTTTGTTATATTTGAATACAAATGCCACAATAAACATTCAGTGACTTTTTTCATATGGCCCATATTTCTCCAGTTTGTCATGTCCTCTTTTCCTGGTGTTTCCATTGTTTCGATGGCAACATCCATCACTACCATCGCTGCCCAATGATGACAATGTCCGGTTGGTTGGTCACAACCATTTTGTCTTTCTGTATCTGGAAGTCCCACGGGATCTTAGCTTTGCCAATCTCTTCCACCTATGGATGTGTCCCCCATTTTGACATGGGGGGTCTCCAGTTTGTATTCTGCACAAATGTTTCTATACACTATAGCAGTCACTTGGTTATAGAGTTAAATATATTCCTTTCCTGCCTGTGTCTTAAACCCTGCTAGAAGATGCTGGATTGTTTGTAGGGCCTATTTCTTTTTCTATTGGATGTGGAATGTGACCTAACCAAGGAAGATCTACCCTGGACAGATGCTCTCTGCTGAATTGCTTCTCCTACACTCAGTGGTTCGCTGATGGCCTGAAAATGTATTAATTTCTTGTAATGGATATTAAAATATAATTTATATTTTTTCTTGTTATAAAAGTCTCGAAAATATCAAATGCCTTTAAGTTTAATAAAAACGAGTCTGCATCGTGTTTCCAGTCTACTAAAATGGTTTGACATTAGGTCTGTGGGTTTTAGTCGCGAGACCTATTGGAAAAAAAAAAAAACATATGAGAGAGGAAGTAGCCGTGAAAATCTCTGATGCAGCTGCTTCAGTTTATTTAGTCTCTGGTGCACGCAGTTCCTCCTCATTTGACCTCTCCATTGCAAACTTTTATTGTTGAAATTACTCTGATTACCATGTTTGTCTCACTGTATGTGCCAGTGCGCTACTTTCAATCACAGCAAAGACCATACTCGGCTCTTATCCCCTACCCCCATGTGATTATAACTAAATGTTCATAGACATTCTCTGTCCAATCCTCCTGGGATTGAGCTGTTTTGCAAAGATGGGAATGGGAAAGCAACCAGACTTTTTCTTATTTTATTTGAACATGTTTCGATACATTATGTCGGTTCACTTTGGTGCGAGCCGACAGAAATAGCAAAGACTGAAGGTATGCAAAAAGAGAAAAACCTAAAGCAACAAAGATGTATACACTGTTTTTGATTACCTCATATCACTTAAGTTAATTTCTATTGCATTCTATAGTTGTCGAATTAAAAGGTTAGAAGTAGGTATAAAAACTTCAAATTATGATTTAAAAACAAACTTTAAAAGGTTTCCTTTATGCATACCTCACATCTTTGCTAGTTCTTAACCAGTTATTTAATTAACAAAGCAGAATGTGTAATAGTAATGGTATAAACTATATTCCTATGGCACCTCCTGACATTAAGTTGGGATACAAATTGTAAAAGCCAAGAAAGCTTATTAAATTCACAACTGATGCTGTTTCTTCACTGCTACAGTGACAAGGAGATCTACTCTGAACCAGGCCACCTACTGTGCTTCCACAAAAATGCAAAAACGACTTGTTTAGAAAAAAAGAAGCAGCTTCCATCACTTGACAGCTCTGGGAGATCTGGATTCCCCTAACCTCCAGCTCATAGCAAAGCACATGCAATATAAAGCTCACTAAAAGAGAAGCTTTACCGATACCTTTAAATGTATTATTGGCATATTCCTGTTATGCTATTTAGCTGCGCTTGAGGCCAAGTGAATGAAAGTAGGACTGTTAGTCAAACAGTAAAGTTTCACTATTTAGTTTCCTTTAAGGATTTTACTCAAGAGTGTCAGAGATTATCCATTATTGAGAGCAGCTAGTATATGCAGTTATATTATATAAGAATATTAAAGATGAGATAAAAACAAAACAAATTGACATCAATAAAATTCATTAATCATGAATTATATTTAACGAAAATGAAAAATAATTTTGTCAAAGAACATTTCTTTAGTTACACTACTGTATTTATTATAAAACAGCCCTATATTAGAAAAGTGTTAAACATAACACAAGAAACTTTTACAAACATTGTTAAATATTTTTTGTACATTATTTATAATAGAGTAATAGTAATACAATAATAAATAAGGAGTTCTGACTTTATTCACACATAACCATGACTCTGTAAATTACTGGGTAAAATTGTAAGTGTGAATGGGGCTTAAGAATTGTGTTTTTTTCCAGAAGGTATTACATGTTATCCTGGGGAAAAAATAAGAAAAGAAAAGAAAACTCTAAAATAATCAATAATTTTTAGAAGAAATCTTATTTGCCTGTCTTAGAAATTTTAAGATGCTAAATAAATGTTGGCATTAGCAACAATAACACAGAAGTGGATAACTAATGTCAAGCTTAATCAATACATGCTGCAGTTGTTTGGGTATAAAATAACATTCACTGCCGCACAGTTCACTGCTGCAGGAAGTTATCTGTTAAATTATTGTCCTAGTATGCTGGTGTGTGTGTGTGTGTGTGTGTGTGCGCGCTTATTTGAGAAAGAGAGGTTAAGTATTTGATATCTTGTGGACACAGTATAGGGTCCATTTCATAAGAATATGTTACTCTTTGGGGACTTACAGAAGCACCTCACTGGTCCCCACGTGAAAAGTTTCTCTTCCAGGGTTAGGGGTTAGGTTTAGGACAAAGGTGTCAACTTATTTTTTGTTTAAGCATGTGATAGTGATGTTTAGTGCAAGAGTGTGGGTTAGGCCTTAAAAATAAATGTAAGTCAATGCAAATGATAGCCAGACATACAGTAACATGAGTAGATGTGTGAGTGTGTTTATGCACTTTAACCTAAAGTATATGAACCTTTTATAAATTCTGCCTCTGACAAATATCTTCTTTTGCTCCTACTTAAAAACTCTGGGGGTGACTAGAAGCAACACTTGGGTCTTGTGTGTATCACAAATTATAGTTTATAGCTGATAGGAAAGAACATTAATTTAATAAAACTGTATTGTCTTCTATTTGCAGGAGCAGCTCTCTTTCACTTAGCCCAGCCCAACATCGAAGAGAAGTCAGCCACTTCAGGACTCCGCCCATTTCCAGGGGGAAGCACAAAATATCGACAAGTTTAATTGACAGCTCCAGAGTGGCAGGGCATGTCTACAGACACCTGCAAGAGGATGAGTCAACAGACATGGAACCCATTAAAAGGTATTTCCCTCCTCATGCTTTTTTTATCCTTAAAGAGGAAAGTCTCTTTGTATTTTCTTCACTAGCACCACATAATCAGTTCAGTGGCCCAGACCTCTGGACTAACCGAGGTTAAGTTATTGCACCAAAGAGGGGACTTTGGAAGAAATTAGGGCAACTGTAAAAGCCAGATCAACTCCAAAGACTTTTCTCAGAAAGCTGAATCCAAGGAGATAAATGAGATATGCCATGCCCTCGTTCAGCTATTCATTTAGAGAACATGCTTGATCCCAAATCCTCAGCCACATCATCGTGCTGAGGAAGATATTAGCCTAAGCCTAATCCATCTGATAGTTGCCACTGGGTGGCTATAATGAGCCCAAAATTGTTTTATCTGACTCCCTAAAATAGCAAACAAAGCTAATTATAAATAGTCAACCACAGAGTCACATTTCAGACACTGCTTAGTGACTCCTAGTTAGTATGTGAATTGAATTCTTTATCTCCTTAGTTTCTCAAAGTAATATTTGGATGACCGTTGAAAACCTAATACTGTATTTGGTCACTGGGCTAAAAGGATTCATACGCCTTAAATTTTGTCCCATTTTGTCTCTATGAAAAAACATGCCTAAATGCATTAACTTGGGATTTGATCTGATAGGTAAATGCAAAGTGGTGCATAGTTGTAAAGTGGGAGGCCAAATTTGAAAAGGTGGCATGCATTTGTATTTGCCACCCCCTGAGTAGTTCCAGAACAGAATAAAGAAACCTCTTCTTCCTTGTCTGAGGTACTTATTAATCAAGCTTCCTCTTACATCAGAGATCTGATTGTTCCATTTATTTCATATCATCAGTAGATTGCAGATTAATTGGTGGTTGCTGGAGTTTCTAAAATGTGGTTATCAGGCCTCTTTCCTTTGGAATCAGATCCAAGTTTCAGTCCATGAGGATTACATTCTGTCTTTTTTTTTTTAAACTAGGTTTATATTTTGTTTTTTTATTATAACACTTACAGAGAGTCTTTGGTAGCAGCAGAACTATCTCTGTAGTTCTGCTGCTATAGGCTTAGGCTGAACAAGGACATACAGCAATGATTATATTTTGCTCATTTGGGTACATTCTCAGTCTTCTTTGTATTTAACAAAATGTATTGTTATTTTATATTTTAACTGAATGCTCTCCTATTGATGATACACTTGGCACTGCCTTTAAAAGGCTCAGCCTGTTTCTCCCTCGGGCAAAGCAATTAGCCGAGCTTTTATTGTGTCTTACTATACGTTCTAGATTTTATTCTGTAGAACAGTGTCTCCCAACCTTTTTTGTCTTGTGTACCCCTTTGGGCATTTTGTCTTACCATGAGTACGCCCTCAGTACAAAGTATTGATGATTGTCTAAAAGTGGAACGTACAATAACTGAAATAAAGAACATTTCGAGAATGATCTCTGTGAGAAGCAGAACAGAGAGAAACAGATAAACAGATCAACCTTTGTCCCAGCAGCTAACCATCGTCAGACAGTTTAATGCCTCTTGAAAGACATTTTTTTATGTCATTATTATGAAATCTAATTTTGTGTTATCTATCTATCTATCTATCTATCTATCTATCTATCTATCTATCTATCTATCTATCTATCTATCTATCTATCTATCTATCTATCTAAATTTGAGCATTCAATTGATAGGCATTTTATTCTTTTCATCTCAAATTAAAAGAAAAAAAAACATAAATATGGTGCCTGGAAGTTAGTAAGGAAATGAAATAAGCACAAAATAAAATCCTATTATAAATTTGTATTTATAAAACTGGAGCTCCTCTGATTAACTCCCTTATAATCATATTTAAACTTAATGAATTGGGAACAAAAGACTGAACAAAAATTATAGTCAGACTGACAAAATTTGTTTTCATCAAGACACCTGAGCTGCTGTAATGAGCTCCAATAGCTAAGTGTTAAAAACAGCTGATAGCAGGCTGTTCTCTACATCCACTTTGTTTCACTGCTTGGTTTTGATGTGTGTCACAGCTCTAGATATTCCATTGGGGTCCTCACAAAGCAAAGACAGATCCCAGCCCTATTTTATTTTACTACCTAATAAATAAAATATTTTCCTGTGTCCCTTGCAATGCACTCGTGGACCACTAAGGGTGGGTGTACCTCCGGTTGGGAAACACTGATCTACAGTAGAGGGAGCAAGGACGAGTTTACTCCATCCTGGGACCAATCTGGCTAATTGTCTTACATAGGGACCCAGAGTGGAAATCTGTGGGGTTCCAACTTAGGTACAGGGTACCCATAATGCAAGCCTTCTGCTTTAACCACCAGGCAACCACTCCGCTATTATCTGTCAAACTCAAGGCCCATATACTTAAATTCAACATACCCAGGCAATTTATGTGTCCTTCAAGCCTCCTAAAAAGGCACATAATATCATAAAGTGGACTAGAAGCATGCATTTCTTTAAATTATAGAAGGTGGCTAGTAATGCACAATATATGGGACTAAAGGTATAATGACAGAGTAGCATGCTCTTTGTAAATTAAATAATGAAATCCAAAGTCTCCTTTGTAAAGCTGCAACTGTCCTAATATAAAAATGAGTTTTACAGCTCTGATCAAGATGGATCCAGCAAATGACCTACTGACAATTTCTTTTTAACATGAAGGGTAGTCCTAGACTAGTGTTTTTTATTTATTTTGTAGTGAAGTGGTATAAGAAAAATGTGGTGAAATGGCACGACATACAGTAAATAAACAATATATGAGTTCAAATCTACTTGGTCTCATGTAACAAGAGGTTTTTGTTTTGCATATGTTGCTTAACTTATCAAATCACTGGCAAATTGTAATTATATTGATTTATGATTTCTTGATAATGGCTTTCTTTTTGTCAGTATTACATAAAAACTGGATTTCTAGTTTACACATCTAATAGCATATTGTTTAAGCAGATTCTTGTACAGAGTTACTGTGGGGGCCTTTGCTGATTCTCTGATCAATGCTCTCCTTATTTGGCCTGTTAATTAATGTGGGAAAAGTTATGTCTCCACAGATTTGAAATAACTCTGTATTTTGTGGTGATTAACTTGGATTAAACAGTACTTTGAGATACATTCATAGAATGGAATACTATTTTATAACTCTCAGAAGCTGTGTTCGTATGTAGTTTTATTCCATATTTTTGCAAAAATAAGGAAATTTGCTGTTCATGTAAATGCATTTTGCTAATATTAACATTACCCAACAGAAAACATTTTTAAAGATATATAATATTATTATTTTAGTGCAGATGCCATATGTATAGCATTGATTTCCAGATGAATAGCTGGATACCAAAAAATACACATCAAAAGAGTTTTTGATCAGGATTTGTCAGGTCTGCAGAGATTAAGCTTTACACGGCTGGATACTGTTTCTTTAGGAAAAGATATTTCTGAAGGTAGCAGGTCACATTGCATTTTCTTTAAGACGATCAAAATGAAGGACAATGGATGCAAATGCAGGTTACACAAAAAAAAACGCAATATGACAAAATATGATTTTGTGTTAATGTGACATGAAATATGAGTATATATAACAAGGGACAAACAATTAAAAAGCACAAGCAATGTGACTGTTTTGGCAGATATCATTGATTTCTCCCTTTGCGTATTAGCATAATAAGGACGGGCAGCGAGTTGACCTTGTTTGACATCCTTGATCAGAGATTGGATTCATTTCAGGTTGGATTAAAAACAAAGCAAGTTTTTGGCAGTGTCAGCTAACAGCAGTTAGCTATCTGGAGATATAAACAGGTTTCAAAAGTAGAATATGATCATCCTCCTAACTGGCATGCATTCAAAGGAGTCAGATCTCAGACACATTTGTTATCAAAGAGGCAATATTTGCCCAGTGTCCTCAAGGAGAGAAGGGATTATATTAATGCAAACAAAGCTGTTCAGAGCGATTGTTGCACAGCAGCTCCCAAACCTGCAAAACTATTTATCTCCTACTGGTCCATGAGGTAGGTATTTTCAAAGGCAGGTAGTTTTGCATTTTTCCTCTTATAAATTAACATTGCATATATATATATATATATATATATATATATATATATATATAAGCTGTTATTTACAGATATAACAAGCACCCTGGTTAGCGTAACTCAAAATACAGAACTACAACAAAAAACAGCTAATTTGCTGTCAGCAAGTGCAGCAAGATGCGATGACAGTGTTAACAGATACGTCTGTCATTAAAACAGTGGTGTCTCCCTTGTGTATTCCCCGCACTCAAAAGAGCACAGCAATGTTCCTATTAGCAAGCCGTCCTGACTGAGCGTATCAGCAACTTGTAGCATATGGTGTGAAGCTGCCAAACTCTTTATGTGACCTATTTCCATAATTTAAATTTTTAAACAAAGCTCCGTGGAGCCTGCTTGGAGGGTTGTGCTGGGAAGAGATCCTCCTGGAGTCATTTCCCCTTCTAAACACACACTCAGAGATGCACACAAACTCTTCCACTGAACAACAAACTAATAAAGAACCTAATGAGGAATATTTCGACTGTTTATTTTTTTTTCCTAAAATCACAAAGGAAAAGATCTCTTAGCAGTGGGCAATTAACTCTTACACACATTTTTCAAATGGGGGGAAGCTGGAATAAGTAGTCTTTTTTTTCTCTTTGGGGGGATTTGTACTTTTCAAATTAAACTACTCAATAATCATCATGCTGATGAACTTCTTCCTAGTTTGTTTCCAGAGAGGCAGCTGAAATCAGATTTTACATACAGTATAAACATGTATGTGTATTAAAAGACACATATACCTTTTTTTATTTTCACTGACAAACAGTACATTTGCTAAAACATTTTCTGTTTCATTTCAGATATTGTAAGATTACTAGGATCATTTTATATGCAAAAGGCCTAAATTATGAAGGAGAGAATTTATAGGAAATTTTTTTTTTACTTGATAAAATGCAGATCTTTCTTGCACATATTTAATAATAGAATTGCTTTTCCCACCCGTACAACTTTGGTTATGAAGGAACTTTGGTCCTTCTGCCAGTACTGCGGTTACTTAGTCAGCAGGCCTGTATTTCAGTTCTTTGTATAAATTTCTTGCCTTATTTTCTTCCTACCTAATTAGGCTGCATATTCTATGTATTTACTTATTTGTAACACAAATATATGCCCAAACTTCAATTTCTTTGCTGATGTCTTGAAATTGTTTTAAATTCTCCTCAATGTTTTATTTTTACTTATGATGCTATTTGTCCAAGATCTTTAGTCATAACTCCCTTCATTATGCTTTGACCAATTACCTCAGATTTTTACATTATGTCAAAGAGATCAACAAAAAAAGACAATTCCATTTCTACTTTACTCAAATATGGTGCACGAACTATAGGACGTTTTTAACGGCATGGCATCTTTAAACTGGGCTTTTTGTAATTGTTTAAAGATAAAAACAAAACTTTGTTTATTCAAACTTTTTTTCTAATAAGCATAGAAAATTATTTCTTAAAAATCCTAGCTGAGCCAACACAGTAAAGATGAAATCTGATTTAATGTTGGTTATACATTTGATCTAAATATCTGATTTGAACCATGTGCTTTATTTTCGATTTCAGAGGCTAAAAATGACCTATTTCTCAAGTTACGAGCCACACAATTGCAAGCTTATTGGCCCCTCCTGCTCTCTTCTCCTCAGCCCCCTCATCTCCCATGTTGCCATGGATACACCCTCTCATTTCTGGAAATGAGAAACGGGAGGTGGAAAGGAGAACAAGCGAGGGGGAGAAAGTGAGGACAGGGAAAAAAACGACTGGGCAAAGATGATGAGGGCAGAGAGGAGTAAAGATGGAGGCAACCAAAAAAGAAACCAAACATAGGCGAGGATTGCAAACAAAAAACAGAACATTGTGTTTTCCATTATGTGGGAACAAATCCCCACAGTGGGTTTTATTATCTAGTGTCAAAACATTTACCCATTGCAGAGCAGGACGGAATTGAAGTCAAATTCGCCATGGGTGTTATTTTTAGATCTGTTTTGATCCGAAAGATTTACCTCCAGCCTGCATTTGTCCTTCTTATACCAAGAAGAGAGTCAGAAGGTAATTCAATTATTTAAACTCGGTTATGCTACAAACAGCCTCAGAGGGCGAACAATAACACTGACTGTCACCTAAGGCTGAAGCAATATTAACTCCGGTGTGCAAATACACAGAATATCACCCACTTGACTCTTGATAAGTTTCTTCACAGCATTACCCTTCCCACTTTTCATTTCTCTGAAAACCTGCAACATAATGCATCACTATGAAACAAAAAAATCAAATGCACCTGATCAGAAATCTCACGCTCCTAGATAGGCCCATTTTTTTTGTTTAAATGTGTCATTGAAGCACTGTCGGACTGAGAGTTATAAGCCTTGGCTTTTAAACTTAAACTAGAGCAGGCTACTGTGTGTAGAACATGTTTATGTGCATATCTACACCAGCCAGGGTAGGAACCCAGCTGCTGCATTGCTGGAGCCTTTAAACTTTGATAAGGCAGACTAGGAAGTCATAAGAGAATGGATTTCTCAGTTAAACATTTATCCAGTAACAAACAAGGCTGCTCATGCTGAGGATTATGAATAATTAGTCAAAGATTATGCAAGAACAATAACTAATTAATATTGGTTATGTTGGTGCAAGATGTTTTTTTTTCTGCAAATGGATTGAAATGTATAACAAGAGTAATGCCTTTTTATATCTGTATGCTCTTTCTGAAACAATGTTTAAAGAAAAAATACTTCTACACAAGAAGCGTCTTGGATAAAATAAAGATGAACTTGAACTGTTTCACATTTATTCATGTTATATTCTCAAACCTCAACTTTCATGGTGCTTTTTTATGATAAAATCTAAACGTGGTAACAGAAGCACATAATAACAAGGCAGAAAACTGTGTTGGGAAATATTTTATTTGAATTGTTCTCCATTTACGGTTATCCTCTGCTTTGTGTTGTATAATATAAAATCCCAAGAAATTACTTTAATGTTTGTGACTCAAGTACAAAAGATTTCACTACTTTTTAAAGCACTGGAAATGCATTGGATTTGCATTAACAGTTTATTTCTGTTCTCCCTTTTGCCCAAAGGTGTGATTCAGCCAGGACAAGTGTGGGCACGCTCACTACCAGGACCTCTCTTACCAGCCCTTCTGCCAGAAAAGGATGGACAGAGGTCCCATGCACCCGCCTGGACAAGGGGACACCTTTCCTGCCACATTCCATGCGTACTCGGTCTGTGCCAATCATCCCATCACTCCAAGCATGTGATCCTGAAGCTAAACCTGCTCGCACAAATGACCAGAACCAAACAGGGCTCCTAAAGTGGTGCCCTGCTCTGTCAGGTGAGCTGTCAAAGCCCACCAGCAATCCTCCCCCTCAGCATGGGAATTTCTTGTTGAAGACGGAGATCTCAGCCTGCAGCACTACCCCCTTTGCCAACACGTGTGCTCTGCTGGGATCAGAGAAGAATGTTACAAAGGCATCGTTCTCTGTTGAATTCGCAACAGAAATTGTGCAAGATTTAAAGCAGAAAAGCTTTTCCAGTCAAGAGAAAATGTCTGGACCCCACAGTGAGTGCCACCATGGTGGCACAAACACTCTCAAGGCTGAGGCTGAGATGGTGCAGCAGTCAGAGGGTAAAGGTATCCAATATTTAGCTGGAGCGGTGCACACTGCGAGTGCAACCAGAAGTGTGAAAGTAGAGGGCCAAAGAGAAGTCCAGGGACAGTGCCAAGGTCAGACATCTCCCTCACACAGAAGGGCAAACAGCTTTCTGGCCACCAAAGGACTCAGCTGCAGAGGAACTGGAAACACTTATGCCAAGCCCTCTGCAAGCTGATTGGATTAACTTTGTAAAGCTTCAAAGAAACCATTTCTAATTACTGGATACCTTTTCTTGGGGCTTGGGATGGTTAGACTATGGGACCATCTGTGTTGCAACATGGACCAGTAACAGATGGCAATCAATTCTAAAGGAAGATTAACATAGCGCATTGTTGTTCAGATAAAAAGAAAAAAAAAAAATACAAACTTGACACAAAAGACATGAAACCACAAAGAGACAAACAAACACACATTGTGAATAAATGTGACTCAAAAAGAAAAACTAAAGTGTGATGAGTGGAAGCTTGATTTAAAAAGTGTTATACTAAAGCGATCACTGTTTAAAAAGAGCTTCTACTTAGAAACCAAAATAGTGTGTTATTACTATGTTGTTTCTCTATTGTAAAGAAATGAAATTATATATGTCATATAATATATGTCATATAGGCGTATATATATTTGACATACAATTGTGACAAAATAAAGAATAAGATAACAGTGTTAAAAAGAGCTTTTTTCATCAATTTTATCAGGCTACTTGAACATATTCTTTACATCAGGTAATGGGTAGTCTTAAGGGGTAATATGACTATATATTTTTGTATGTTATCGATAAATATGGTTAGAAAATATACCCTATTTTATGTACTATAAGCCACTACTTTTTTCCCACACTTTGAACCATGCAGCTTATAGGAAGGTGTAGCTTTTCTGTGGACTTTTCCTAACCGCCAGAGGGGGAAGTCAAAGTTGGAAATTAAAGAATAAGGGGCTAATTTTCATTTAGCACAAGAACATGTTAGCAGCAGGCATGACGAAGAACAAATGTCCCACATTCATTGAAAATATATTGACATTTATTTTCCGCATTAAAGCTCCCGAACCAATGAAGAGACTGAGCTCAACTCCTGCAGCGCTAAAATATAAAGAGATGACAAAGCCCCGTCTTTCAGGAGAAGCTCTTACTGTTACGAGCTGTCGCTACCCGATCCGTACCAGAAGCACGATCCGTTCTGCGCATGCGCATCCAGATATACATCCGGGTTGTCCTCAATTTTATTTTGTTAAAAAGACCTAAATGACGTTTTCCTCCCCAAAAATAGTAAACATACTTAAATATAATGTGTTAATGGTTAATAATATATTTCCTGAGAAAATAAATGCCTTAAAATCCTTTCTGTTTTATCACTCGATCACCGATCTGCACCCGAAATGGAATCCTACGCTACTTCCGGTGGCTAACTTTTCGGCTGTGGATTTAAACATAAATCTAGTCTTTTTGAGTTTTATGTTTTCGTTTAGTTTTAATCTTATGCTATATATTAGGTAATCTAAAGAAGGAAACAACTAAAATGCAGATAAACATGGTTTAATCATATTTGGCCGGACTGCTCTGAGCATACCTGATGACGTCAGCGAAGCAATTTAACGAAGAAAATGTAAAAGCATAGAAGCATAGAATTTGTCTCACAAAAGTAAAAAAAAACATTTTTAAAGATGTGTTTTAGCATTCTTTAGTGAGTTAAGGATAGAAATAAGTAGTAGTAGTAGTAGTAGTAGTAGTAGTACCATAATTACATTATCTATGGACACCCGGATGTATATGTGTTCGTGCATGCGCAAGATGGATCGTGCTTCTAGGACAGAGCGGGTAGTGACACGAGCCAACAAGCTAAGGGAGCATCTACGTTTCCATTTTTTTTTATGTAATGGGCGCGCCTTATGAGGCGCGCTCTATAGTCTAGAAAATACGGTAGTATTTCACACCCATTGGTTTTTAAACCCATGGTTTTTAAGTTTAAAAACTTTTTAAAGTTTAAATTAGCATCACATTTATTTTATTTTCTCCCTTTTTTTTTTTTAAACATCTGCTACAGGTCATATTTGTAGCCAAACTGGTGTTTTTCCTGTGGTGTTACAGTGAACATATACACTATGGATTCAGGCATCACGTGGGACTTGTATGTCATGTGAGGATTGGAACCAGGTTTTATATAAGCAACACTTCTACAAAATTATAGTAACTGATTTATTTTTTTTTATCACATTTTCAAAAAATATAGTTTTGCATCTAAAAAATGTTTATTGGATTTCTAAAATAAGATATGGGAAGTGGGTTTTTTACCTAAGGCAATTATAGTTCCAATCTTAAAGTCAGGTAAAGAGCGTTCAAATCCAGCAAGTTATTGGCCGATTGCTTTAACTTCACATCTATGTAAAATAATGGAATGATTAAAGAGAGATTGAGCTATTTAGTTGAGAAGAGAGGATATTTATCCAAATTTCAAAGTGGATTTAGAAAAGGTAGAAGAGCTATGGATCCTTTTCTTTGTTTAGAACATGAAATTAGAAAAGGGCAAGTTAATAAGGAGAGTGTGGTGGCTGTTTTCTTTGATATACAGAAGGCTTATGATATGATGTGGAAAGAAGGTTTTCTGATTAAATAAAAAAATAAAAAGGGGAATTGGTGGATCAATATTTTATTGAATAAAATATTTTTTAAGAGACAGATCTATACAAGTAAGAATAGGACAACATTTATCAGAAAGGTTTTGTTGAAAATGGTACACCACAGGGAAGTATAGTGAGTCCTTTGTTTTTTCCCCCATTATGATTAATGATATGTTTGACAATTTGGAGAGTGGAATGGGGTTTTTTCTTTATTTTCTTTATTAAGAAATAGAAGAAAAGGGCAATGTATTATCCTTCATTTATTTATATATTAGCACAGCTGTGCTAAGACTTGTATGGGAATCAGTATATTTTTAACTCGTTTAGTCAAATAGTTTTATTGTAGTCAAATTAACAGACTGACAAAAAATAATTTTAAATTTCCTTATATTTATTATATGATTTATAGTACATGTCTTCCTTCATATTCACATTGCTTTCTACAACTCAACTAACATTTCCTTTAAATATTGTAAGCAGGAAACCTAATTTAACAATGAGTGGTTCATAAAACTCAGCCAAAAACCCCAAAATACAATCCATAAGCCTTAAAAAATTACAGCTAAGTCTGGCTTTTTGGAAGCATAATTAAATAAATTAAATATAATACATGCATTTTGCACAGCATTATTTTAAACTAATATTGTTAACAGAACTATTAACAATTAATTAATTAACAATATTAACAATTAACAGTTATGCTTTAAATTTTTTATACATTAGTATTTTTACAAAAATAACATAGCTAGTTATAAAGTTATGAAATTCACATACACACTGACCCGGATAAAAATAAAGGCTATCTAACTGAGGACTGTAACTTTTTACCAATTGGAGAATTGGATGGTTTGTTCATGTTTCTAATAAATAAAGCTTTCAGCTGCTTTCTAATCTTCAAAGAGAAAACAGTCCTTGTTCACCGTGCTGAAACAGAACAACAGCCATGAAGTTTGTGGATAGAAATGAGGCACAGCAGCAACAAGCTGGGGACAAATCTTTATTCATGCCTTGTTTATGTCATTTTCACTGTATCTCACTTCTCTCGTTTTCAGGTTTACAGTGTCTGCTGACAAGATGGGTCTTAGAGGATTTACAAATGGGTATTACTGTGATTTCTTCATAACTTCTCTGCTGACTAAAACTGTTTTGAGTCTATAAGAAGGTTTTTGTGGAGATTAAAATGAATTTCATTGATCCCTGAAGGGGGAATGCAGCCAAGGCAGCTGCAAAGCACAGATAAATTTCTGTAAATATAAAATACCTTTTGTTTATTACATTCAACGACACTGACTGCTAGTTAGAAAGCACAGTTATTATATTTCCAAAATGTACTATTTGAATATTGTGTTTACCTGAGGTCGCGAAAGGCATGTTTTAAAAAAAAAATGCTGATTGAGACGTTAATATGGAATTGACTGATCAAATAATACAAAACATTGTTAGTTGGAATATATAATGCAGTTATTCCAACAAATATTTCCTCCCTTAAAGATTTATTTTGCTTTTGATTGTTTGTTTCACTTATATTCTTAAGATCAGGCAGGTGAGACGAGAGCAATTTCAAGATTTGGAGTTGAATTATTTAGTGCAAAAAATATGTTTTCCTGTTTTCCTTTGCCGCATGTCTCTCCCCCTCTTTCTTACCCCCTTTCCTGTCAGCCTCCTGTCGAAAAAAACAAGCCACTAGTGGTGCAAAAACAAAAAAAAAAGTAACCATCCCCTTTAAATCACCAAGTTACTTTGATTACCACATTTTTGTGGTAACCTTTGAGCAATTTCAGTATAAGACCTTTAAAGACAAGAAAACATTTATACATTCTGATGACATGAAGTAGGCTTAAACATCTCAAAAAGGAATTTGTGAGAGTCTGTGGTTTTATGGTTAAGATGTGCTTAATAATGTGGAATGTTTCTTTTTTTAAATCAGTTTTAGTAACGTCTTTGAGACTATCCTTTAAAAGTTGCTTGTGATATAATCTTCAAAAATCCTACAATATATATATAAAAAAAATTATGTATTGAAAGCAAAGTTTCATTCATCCATCCATCCATTTTCTTCCGCTTTATCGGGGTCGCAGAGACAGCAGTCTAAGCAGAGATACACCAGACACACCACCTCCAGCTGCTCTCGGAGGACGACACCAGGCCGGCTCAGAGACATGGTCCCTCCAGCATGTCCTGAGCCTTCCACGATGCCTCCTCCCAGCAGGACATGCCTGGAACACCTCCCGAGGGAGGCAACGGCATCTGGAGTAGAAGCCTGAGTCACCTCAGCTAGCTTATTTTTAGGTGGAGGAGCAACGACTCTACTCCGAGCTCCTCTTGGGTAACTGAGCTCCTCACCCGATCTCAGAGGGTGCGCAAAGCCACAAAATAAATGTAAACAGGCTGAAGTTGGTTTTAACTGCTTTGGGTTTTTTCTTCACTTCCATACAGAAAGCCCAAATTCCTATCTTCAGCTAACACAGAGTACATGGCAGATTAAATAATGCTACCTCAGCGATAGTTTCAAGGTGTTACTTTGTTGTATGTCTCGTACCATGTCTGTTGGTTGTGCTGTTCTTTTTACATCTCTTTGCAGGTGATGAATCAGACTGAAAATGTTTTATCATTATCTCCCTTCTATCTCCTCTTTCTTTCATCTTTTCTCCTTTTCTTTTCTGCTTTTCCTCTTCTGTTCTATGTACATTGCAGTGTCCATATAATAAAGCAATTTATATGCATGAAACAAGCGGAACACTATGGCAATAGCCCTACTGCTCCACTTCTGAAAGTAAAATCTGTTGGGCTCTTTTTGGCGTCAAGACAATTATTCTTATTGCCACATTGCCAGACAAGACACTTTAAAAAAAAAAGAAAAACTGTTTTGGTTTTGTTTTGCTTTTCAACTCTAACAGTTTGCCAGCTGACAAAAACAACCTACTTAGTATTAATTGTGAGTAAATTATAGTTTAATGAGGATGTCTGTCTCAAACCCTGAAAAAATTAAATAATTTAGAATTTTGTTTCAGGGAAAGTACTTTCCTGTTTGCACATC